GGCAGCCCCAGGAGTCACCTCCGTAGGTTGAGGCCTTACCCACTCATGACTCTGTCCAACAGCCCCCCAACATCCTGATGGTGCATCCTGCTCGGGAAGACATTAAAATCTGCGACTTCGGCTTTGCCCAAAGAATCACCTTGGCAGAGCCAAAGTACAGCAAGTACGGGTGCCCTGAGTTTGTGTCCCCGGAGGTCATCGAGCAGACCCCTGTGAGCGAGGCCTCTGACATCTGGTGAGTGGGTGGGCCCCCCGGGACAAAGCCACCGTGACAGCCCATCCCCCGTTCCCTGCCTGCCATCCTCTCAGCTGCCATTCCCCTCATGCCCCTCACCTGGGGGCCCGGCTGGGTGACTCACAGCTGTGGTTTTGTTCCCACAGGGCTATGGGGGTCATCTCCTACCTCAGGTGAGCAGACCTGTGCCCCATCTCCTCAGAAGAAATCCCAGACCCCACCCGCTGGCCCTCCCCAGATCAGAGACCTGGGACCCAAGGGGCAGCTAGTTTGGAAACAAGCAGTGGCCACCTCGGATAAGAGGTTTTGCCCAGGGCTTTTCACCATACCCTGTCCCAGAGGAGCTCTTCCCAGTGGGGTCGTGAGGCACAGCGCTGAGCTGTTTCCTCAAAGGGTCTGGCTGGTTTGCCCAGAGGCCCTCCATCGCAGTTACTGCCCTGAGGACGCTGCTGGTGTAGACTGAGCCCAGATCCTCACTCCGGCCTGGGCCTGCATACCTGGGCAAGTCTGAGACACTTGCTGGGACTCTGAGGGAACTAAGAGGCCATCCCAGTCAGGGCTCCGCCGACCAACCCCAGGGGACCCAGAGATCTGGGGTCCTGTCTGAGGGCCCGACACTCACTGTGCTTTCAGCTTGACCTGCGTGTCCCCATTTGCGGGCGAGAGTGACCGAGCAACCCTCTTGAACGTGCTGGAGGGGCGGGTGTCCTGGAGCAGCCCGGTGGCTGCACACCTCAGCCCGGATGCTCAGGACTTTATCAAGGCTGCCCTGCGGAGGGTCCCGGAGTGAGTGTGCATGCCCTGCTCTCCTCCCCCATCCCCTGTTCAGGGGACCAGCCCACCCCTGGCCTGACCCCTGGCTTGGTCTCCCCACAGAAGCCGACCCAGTGCAGCCCAATGCCTTGCCCACCCCTGGTTCCAGGTGAGTAGGGTGAATCTGGCAGGCCTGGCGAACAGGGAGGAAAAATGAGGCCAAGAGGGGTGGGGCCTATCGGGCTCTAGGGTACACCAGGCTCTCCCCTCACACACGTGGCTTTCTCACCCGGGCCCCCCAGAAGTCCCTGCCCGCGGAGGAGGCCCACTTCATCAACACCAAGCAACTCAAGTTCCTCTTGGCCCGCAGCCGCTGGCAGGTGAGCAGCGGGATGGCTGAGGGGGGCGCAGGGAGGGGCCTGGAGGCAGGTGGGGGAGCTAAGGTCCCAGGGCTGGCTGTGCGCAGGGAGGTGGGGGCTGGGCATCCTTCTTTCAGAATCTGTGTTCCCTGAGCTGACAGGACGGACACAAACACAGAGTCCTGGGGTGCAGGGAATGAGGACACGGGCTTTTAATGCGCCCCGCCTCCTGGGTCCCCCATCTGGGGGCACCGGAATCGGGAGGCAGTGGGCACTGGCTGACGCCCCTCGTCCCCGCGCCCCCAGCGCTCCCTGATGAGCTACAAGTCCATCCTGGTGATGCGCTCCATCCCCGAGCTGCTCCAGGGCCC